AGGTTGAAAAGGTATGGAGATAGGACACATCCCTGGCGTATGCCCTTCCCAATTTGAACTATGTGGTGTTTCCTTGCTCTGTTCTGACAACTGCCTCTTGGTCCAAGTGTAGGTTTCGCATTAGCACGATCAACTGTTCTGGGATTCCCATTCTTCTCAAAGTCAGCCACAGTTTGTTAGGTGCGTCTGATACAGGTCATGGTCTTTGTAGTCACTTGTTATGCATCAGAGAGTTAGACAGTGACTAGGGAGGATAGAAGGTGAATTGATGCCTTTGAGCTGTAGTGCTGGAGAAGAGTATTGAGGGTACCATGAACTGCTAAGAAAACAAACAGATTCATCCTGGAGAGGGTTAAACCAGGAGGCAAGGATCCTGAGGCTTCGTTTAACATACTTTGGACATGTTGTAAGGAGGGGCCGGTCCTTGGAGAGGGACATCATGCTTGGGAGGCTGGAGGGACAGTGAAGGAGGGGAAGGCCCTCTATGAGGTGGATTGATTCAGTAACTGGGGTAATTGGGATGGGTGTATTGGAGACAGTGCGATTGGCACAGGACAGAGCAGAGTTTAGGGCTGTAGTACGCAGGGTCGCTATGAGTCGCAAGCAACTCTATGGCACATAATAACAACAACAATAGGTTGTTTGGTTTCTTGACTGCTGCTTCCATAGGTATTGATTGGGAATCCAAGTACAATGAAATCTTTGATAACTGGAATTTTTCCTCCATTTGTCATGTAGTTGTGTATTTGTACAGTTGTGACAGTTTTAGTTTCTTTATGTTGAAGCATAATCTGTTCTGAAGGCTATAATATGCCTTTTTTTAAAAAAAAAAGGCTATCTAGTCTTTGATCATCATTAATAAGTGCTCCAAGTATCAGAAATCTTAGAAGAAAGATGTTTTATGGGCATCTTGTTTTTTTAGGTAATTTAGATAAAAGTTGATAGACACAAAAATAATAAACTTTATTTTTAAACCTTAGATTCATTTGGTTTTATTTCTATATACTTTTATAGGAAACTTAAAAGTGTTTGTGTTTTGAGATACTCATATGTTCATATACAATCATAAGAAATAATAGTTTCCCTATACCCTCTGTCCAGTTTGTCCAAGTGCCAGCATCATGTATAACCATAGTTCAATTTCACAGTCAGGAAATTGATATTAATCCACTTCCTAAATAACAGACTTTCGAAAACCCTATGTACAAGAGAGCACACTTAGATTAGATTAGACAGTGAGACTGGCTCAGGATATAGGGCAGAGTTCAGAGCTATTGTGCATCAGGTTGCTATGACTGACATGTGACTTGGCGGCACATAACTGTGAACTAAGGTACATCAAACCCCAGACATGATATTTTAATAGACCACCAGAACTTTCTTATGTGAAAGCTGAATGGTGAAATGGAAAACTGAAGAATAATTCATACCTTTAAATGTGATGTTTGTGAAAAATATTGTCTGTACCACAGACTACCAAAACAATAAACAACTGTCTTAGAAGTAGTGCAGCTAGATGCTCTTTAGGAGTAAGAGTGGTGAGACTTTGTCTCACATATTCCAGTCCTTGGAAAAAGACATCATGCCTGGAGGTAAAAAGGGAAATCCTCAGAAAGATGAGTTGATACAAGTGACCACAGCATGATTGTGAGACTAACACAAGTCCAGGCAGTGCTTTGCTCTGTTGTAGGATCACTATGGTGTGAACATAATTGAAGACACCAAACTGTAACAACAACTACTACTCCTACTCACTTATTCAGATTTTACCAGTTTTATAGTTACTTGTTTTGATGTGTTTTTTTTTTTAAAATTTTTTTAGTTTTGTGTTTTATTAAGAAGTTCAGGCCGTAAGTGCATATTTCCACAGTGGGCCCAGGCACTCTTTTCACTGCTGCTTTTTGGTCTTCAGGTTCTCCTCGTGCTTGTTGAGCCTTCAGCACATGGCACGTGTTTTCTTGGACTGCAGATCCAGGGGTTTGTACTTCTTGCTCTTACAGTATTTTCTGACGTTCTACTTCTGAGTCTAGTTAATAACAGTGAGAACACAGGCAATGGATTTTCGGACAACTCGGATTTTGGAGAGCTGAAAAGCCGCACCGCCTGTCACTTTGGTGACGCGCAGCTGGGAAAGCTCCACTTTCAGACCGTCCAGCTGTTTTAACAGCTCCTCTTCCTCTTTGCCACGAAGGTCCCGAGACTTGATTTTGGTCATGGCTGAGTGATAGAACCTGGCTGCCGCCTGGTTCCAAGCCCAAGAGCTCGTTTATTTATTTGTATACTTATGTGTAATTAGGTCTGTGTGCTTTTATCCTGTGATTCTTGTGGTCACCATCACAATGTGTTGGACAGTTCCATCACAGAGATCTCTCCTGTTATTTTTTCACCCTTTTCTTTTTTTATAAATTATTTTAAATTAGTTTATATACAGAATTTGTATACATTCTGTTTCTTTTATATATGCATTGCATTTCAAACATTGCTCTATTCACATTGTGTTTGTATGATCATTCCCATACATTGTGGTATTGGGTGGGGTTTTCCCCCATATTTGTACGGTTGGGTTTTGGCATCTTCCAGGTACACAGAAAAACCGGCGGGAGAACGTGCTCCTGGGCGGAAGGGAAGCCGGGAAGCTGCGCACTGGGGAAAGTCACCTTGGATAATAGCGAAGAGGCATCTTCCAGGTACACAGAAACACCGGCGGGAGAACGTGCTCCTGGGCGGAAGGGAAGCCGGGAAGCTGCGCACTGGGGAAAGTCACCTTGGATAATAGCAAAGAGGCATCTTCCCTCGGGCCAGAAAGGAAAACATAATCTACACAGGAGTTCTACAGGACACGTCACCTTCCCTTGGAGACAGTACA